ATTAAAAAACATTATCAAAATGTTCGACAAAATTTTTATTTTTTTCCCAAATGGTCTTAAAAAAAATATTTAGTTTTTAAAAAATTTTTTAAAAAAAAATAGGACATAAATTTAAAGTTAAATATATTTAACAATATATGTTTAAAATAAAGATCTGAAAATTAACACTAAATTTTTCAAAAAAAATAAAACCCTCATTTTTTTCATTTTTGACATATATATATATCTATTTTATATTAATTTAATGCAAGATAAAATATTATATTGTAACTCATTTTAAATATATCATTTTTCGGATACAACAATACATATATTTTCAATCATTGTCCTCTTAAAAAATTGAGTAAAAACAAGAACAACATCTATTCCATATTTGAAATATCATTTTGAAGAAACGAAATCTTGTAGTAAAAAATTTAAACTAATGCAGCAGAAATTTATAGAAACAAGGATTTTTTTCATTCATAACATTTCTATTTTTTGTATATTATTTGAATTGTTTTGCGACGATGGAGATTTGCCAATAAAAATCATTAACCTTTGCATTTTTTTTTGTATGAATAATTCATGAAATTTGTAAATTTTTGCATGTTTAAATATAAATTAAAAATAACTGATCCAAATGCGATTTTTTGGATAATAAATTGCGACATTACTGTAATTATTGAACAATATAGTTCATGCCACTTTGACAGAAAATTTACCAGTAAAAAAAAATTCGTTTATCACCATATTTGTACAAGAACGCACAAATTGTAAAAATTTAAAATCAAACTCAGCGTTGCTACTGCACGCTCAAAAAAAACAATAACTCATTTCCAATAGCATTTTCGGATACAACAATACATATATTTTCGTTGTCCTCTTATTACTGAGAGAAAAAACAAGAACAACATCTATTCCATACCTGAAGATGTCTGTAGGAACAGACGAAAGCTTGTAAAAAAAAATAAGAACTAATACGGCAGAAATTTATAGAAACAAGGATCTTTTCATTCATAACAGGTTCGGGGGTTTTTGTATATTATTTGAATTGTTTGCGACGATGGATTTCTCGCCAATTAAATCATTAACCTTTGCATTTGTTTTTTGTATGAATAATTCATGAATATATATATATATATATATATATATATATATATATATATATATATATATATATATATATATATATATATTATAAATTTTAATTTATGGAATAAAGGAAAAATTTAAATATCATGAGATGGAATAAATTTATAAATAAATATTTTGAAAATTTAAAAAAAACAGAATAATGTATGACAAAAATAATATTTGCAAAATTGATTATCAGACTATATATATTATGGGCTCTTCCAATCATTTTCAATGTCTGATAATTTCTTTTAAGGTCACATTTTTTAAAGCAAAAATAAATTTATCTATATATATATGTTCATTTATGAATTTTTGATATATAATAAAAATTTCAAAAAAAAGAAAATTCCCTCCTCAGGTTTACAGTTATATTTTTTTTTTTATTGCCAACCATGGATATATGAATGAAGAAGTGATGAAAAATACTTCCAGCATGCAACAATAACATTTTTTTTAAAAAAATAAGGACATCTTAATAAAAGATGTTAAATTAAATCTTTATCTTCACCATGAAATAAAAAAGAACGGGCAACAAATCTAACTTATTTTGTGATATATCTTGAAAATTATTTGTATATTCTTTTTTTATCACATTTACCATTGAACAATTTTAACCTAAAAAAAAAAACAACAAATAAAAAATAGGTAAATAAAATAAAATTAAAAACTAATTTTATTTTTTTAATCATTTCACCTTGATGAAATTTTGAAGTGCCACCATAACATTATAATTTACAAACAAATGAATTGAAAGAATAAAAGAAGTGTTTTAGAAAAGGATATGTCAAAAGAACGAAAGGATCAGGATCATACTTGCATCAGAAAAAATGTCGATTGACATTAATTTTTGAAATTAATGAAGATTATTATATTATTATTTAGCAATAAAGAAAGAAAATTCCACTGTATATAAATTTTATGTCTTTGTTGTTCCTTTAATTTTTCTATATAAAAAAATTCAAATTTTGATTAAAATGAAATATATGGGGCTGAGATGCCAACCTATGTATAAAAAATATGAATTTCAATAAAACGAAATTTAAATTTTCGTATAAATCTGCCATAAAAAAGAAAATAAGTTTCTAAACATATATTTTTTACGTTTATGAAAGTTTTTCTGAGTCGAGATGCCAACATAAAAGGATCAATCAGATTGCAACATCCGTCTTTACTGATTTCAATTTCAATATTTTATTTCCTATCAATAATGCCAGGGGTCCATTCATTTCGATTTATATTGGGATATATCATGTTATAAAAATATAAATATTTGCGGGCCGGATTTCAAAGGCCAAAAATAATGAAAAATTAAGGAAAATTACATATAATTTCAGGAACCCCTGTAAAATTTTGAAAAATATTTAAAACCATAATGAAAAAAAACATTATATAAAAATCAGAAAAAAAAAAAAAAAAAATAAAAAAAAAACACTAAACAAAAATTACTTTTTTTTTCAAGGAAATCAAAAGGATTTTCAAAGTGAAACATGAGAAATTTTGGTTTAATTTAATTTTGTTTTTGAAAATTGTGAAACAAACAAATTACACATACATACATCAAACAATTTTTTGGATTTGCCATTTAAACCCATAGATACGATACAAATAGATTTAAACATATAAAATGAATTTTAAAAAAATTTACACATGCGGTATCATCGAACATTCATGAGTCATGTTTATGTATAATGCGCGTATTTAATTCTGGAAGAATTTTTAATATAATTTATAAAACAATTTAAATTTAAATGATTTGTTTTTAACGTTATTTAAAAAGTTAAATTTGTGACTTTATAAAATAAAAAATAAAAATATTGTAAAAACAAATATACCAATGTTTTTTATGATTATAAAGTTTTACAAAATATATTTTAAAAATATTAGTCTAATTGAAAGATAATATAAATAAAGATAGTATAAAAATAAAAGCCTTTTCTCTTTTTTTAAAAATAGAGTCATTGGTAATCAGGCTTACCGGGCCGGTCAAAATTTTTTCGGGCCGGATCCAGCCTGCAGGAATAGGTTGCCGAATTTCAAAAAATATGCTTTAAAATATGTGAATGAGGAAATTTTAATTTTACTATGATATCAATGAAAGACACAGTCTATATTTTTTTTTTTCACACTCACAGAAACTTTTTTTTTCTTGTTATTTTTTTTATTCCCATTAATTTTATTTTTCTAACCTCCCTATTCTTAATATTAAATTGTATTTTCGTCATAGCTCATCGTTTTCTTCTAGTTTGTCTTTTACTCCGCGTTTCCTGTTAACATTATACGATTTTTCTGATGTGTTGGCCGAAAAAAAGGTTACCTTTTAAAGGGTAAAATATACGTTTTTGTCTGTTTAAAGCTAAGATCCGTGTTATCAGACTATAGCGACAAAACGGCGACTTACCTCGTCAAACCAAATAAACAGCGCGTCGCGTGTATTTTACGACGGAAAAGAAAATTATTTATAAAAAATTTTTAAAATATTTATTCCGCATGACATACTGAAGACGGAATATTTAGATTAAAAAATTTCTTTTTTCCATCGCAAAAGTCGCTCCCAAAAGTATTTTAATATGCAAAAAATTTGGCGTCCTTCTAGTTTCGACGAATGAAAAAAAGTTTTTAAATTTAATAATGCGACAAATATTTTTTTTTTGCTTTCATTTTAACACAGACATTTATTTAAATAATTTAAATCTTTTGCCTAATGCGAAAAGAAATTAGCGGTTTTTATTGTTTTATTACTTTTAGTGAATTTTATTTGAGCAGACGATCCGTTTATTTTAAACAGGATTTTATTTCGTCTATAAATTTTTAAATACTAGAATAATATTTATGTTATGGTCCGGTTCCTTGTATCACGGTGATAGTCCAAGGTAGAACCAATAAAGAAGAACTCGAACACAGGTATGGAATAACACAGATATATTACAAACAGGAAATATATACAGAGAAGTAGAAGTGTTAGTATGAACAATCAGGTTTAGTAGAGAGAACAATGTAGTCTCGACCAGTATCACTATTCCAATGTCTTGCAGTAATTGTCTGAACGCGACTCTGTTTCGGACTGCCTCTGACTCGACTGACTTGACTCGACTTGAACTACTGACTGAATGACAGACACCCTGACGGACTTCACTCCAGATTGAACGATATCTAGTCACCCTCACCCACGAGGGCATCATGTGGCACAAGACCGGTTTAATAAAATATGCCCTTTGAACCCGTATAAACGGGTTCAGGGTCTATTTACCTCCCCGAAAGAAATTCCGCCCTTCGGCGTAGACTCCTTCGGGTTCCTCCCCGCCCGAAGGTAGAGAGTTCAACCGATCACCCGATCAGCCGGACGTCCGACTTCAGACTGAACTCCCTGCTTCCTCTTGAGGCGCAGTATTTATTACGTATGGAATAGTCTATTATGTTATTATGGGTAAGGTCCCATAACACTTTATAAAGAAAATATACGAACGAGACGGCATTTGAACATACGTCGGCCTTTACAGGGAAAGAACCACCTTCTCATCCGGCGGATTTTTACCGCTCGGCTACGGAGAGCTTCACGCTAAAGTGAGGTTCTATTTTGACTTTAAATCACATTCATCCGATGAGATATTTCTGGAAACGAATAGTTGCACAGTTTCGTAAAAGATAAACAAGGCAATTGCGAAAGAACTAATGGATTATATTATATTTTTTAATCCGACATTTTTTGGCCTCAAAGGTTATATATATATATATATATATATATATATATATATAATATGAATATTGAGTTTTGATTAGGGGATGAAAAGGCCTTTTTAATAAATAAAAAAAAAATCTGAACAGATATGAACATTGAATGAGACTGATAGATAATAAATTTAGAAAGATAGATATTAAGAGACTTAGATAGATAGATAGATAGATAGATAGATAGATAGATAGATAGATATTCTATATTATAGACTGTTCTGATAGATGGATATAATATTAACAGACAGAAATAGATAGATATTAACAGACAGATAGATAAATATTAACAGAGATAGATAATTATATTGATAGACTAAATCTAGATAGACAGATATTAACAGACAGAGATATATATTAACAGACTGAAATAGATAGATAGATAGATAGATAGATAGATAGATATCAGAAAATGTATTTTTTAAAACTGAATAGATAGATAGATAGATAGATAGATAGATAGATAGATAGATAGATAGATGGATAGATAAAGCAAATATGAAGATTGATAGATAGATAGATAGATAGATAGATAGATAGATAGATTGCAATTAAGAGATATGAGATAGATAGATAGATAGATAGATAGATAGATAGATAGATAGATAGATAGATATTAACAGACAGAGATAGATGGATAGATATTAACAGACAGAAATAGATAAATATTAACAGAGATAGATAGATATTGATAGACTGAGCTAGATAGACAGATATTAACAGACAGAGATATATATTAACAGACTGAAATAGATAGATAGATAGATAGATAGATAGATAGATAGATAGATAGATAGATAGATATGTATGGATACTGAATAGATAGATAGATAGATAGATAGATAGATAGATAGATAGATAGATAGATAGATAGATATACAGAGAAGATAGATAGATAATAGATAGATAGATAGAGTTTATAGATAGATAGATAGATAGATAGATAGATAGATGTTCAAATTTATGGATACTGAATAGATAGATAGATAGATAGATAGATAGATATGATAGATAGATAGATAGATAGATAGAATAGACTATTTTTCATTCTCACTTTGTTTGGAATTTTTTTTTTATCATTCTCCATAAAATATTTCCTATAATTTTAGTGCCATTCCTCTCACAGACATTGTTGTATCCAACTCCATCGTCCTCTTTCTTCCTTGTATTATCTGTCTCTATGTATTTGCAATATCAAATACAATTTTCTTTTCACACCAGAACATGTTTCATTATGAAAGCGAACCTCTTTCGAAATTTATCTGCTTTAAAAAATTGGATTGTAAATTGATTTAGCGATCGGCCATTTTGTTTTCATAAGTGTTTTGCGCAAAAATGAATTTGTTTAGCATTTGCCGCCCGCCCGCCACGGAAAAAAAAAAACAGAATGTAACGTCTCACTTCTTTCATTACACGAAACACACACAAACTTTTATTGTATATATAAATATAAATTATATTAGCTGTTAACGACCACCTCCTGAAGTTTTGGAAACGAGTCAATGCCGAGGATGGTGGAAATATAATATATTTTTTTTAAGAAGGAGAAAGAGAGGGAATGTTGAAATGAAAGGAAAAAAGAGGGGAAGAATAGAAATTATTTTTTGAAATCCAAAACAAAGGATGAAGAGTGATGAAGAAAAGGAGGGAAGGAAAATAGAAAGAAAGAATGGAGGGGAGAGATGTTGAAAAGGAAAAAAACAAAGGACAGAAAGAGAAACAAAAGAAAAGGATATATATATATATAAAGAAAATATATATATATATATATATAGGAAGGAAGAAAGGAAGGAAGGAAAAGGAAGGAAAGAAGGAAGGATTGAAGGAAGAAAGGAAGGATATGAAAGAAGGAAGGATTGAAGGATTGAAGGAAGGAAAGAAGGAAGGATTGAAGGAAGCAAAGAAGGAAGGATTGAAGGAAGGATAGAAAGGATAAAAAGGATATAGAATATAGGAAGGAAGGATTGAAGGAAGGAAGAAAAGAATTGATTGAAGAAAGGAAGGAAGGATTTTAAGGAAGGAGGGAAAAAGAAGGAAGGAAGGGGGGAATTTATAAGGAAGGATTGAAGGAAGGTAGGAAGGATTGAAGGAAGGAAGGAGAAAAAGGAAGACGTGTTGATAACAAAGAAGGAAGGAAGGAAAGAAGGATTAAAGGAAGGAAGGAATTTCTGGAAAGAAAAGAAAAAAATTGGAAGGAAGGAATCATTTTCAAATATCAAAGGAAGGATCCGAAGGAAGGAAGGAAGGATTGATAAAAGGAAGGAAGAAAGAAGGAAGGAAGAAAGGGAGGAGAGGAGTAAGGAAGGATTTGATTGAAAAAAAAATAAAGAAACGATTGGAATTTTTTTTCAAAAAAGAAAGAAAGGAAGTACAAAGAAGGATATTCTAAACTACGAGGAATAAACGAAGAAAAAAAAAAGGAATAATTTTATTAAGATTTGGAAGGAATGAAGGAAGGAAGGAACGAACGAAGGAAGGAAAGAAACGAAGGAAGAATTGAAGAAAGGATTTCCAACAAAAGAAAAAAGGAAGGAAGGTGGACTGATACAAAGAAGGAATAAACAAAGGAAGGTTGGAAGGAAGGATTGAAGGAATTTAAAGAAGACAGGAAAAGGAAGGAAGGAAATATTATTTTTTTTCCGAAGGAAGAAACGAAGGAAGGAAGGAAGGAATTAAAAGGAAGGAAGGAAGGTTTTTTTAAAAACGTTAGTTGAGAGAGATGAAATGAAGAATTTGATTATTGAGATAGTGTATACATAATTCATTTTAAGGATATACTAAAATCCGTGGCAATCAAAAAAAAAGAACGAAAATTCTTAAAAGAGTTTATCAAAACCGGAAGAGGGGAACGATAGAAAAAGTGGGAGAGAAAAAGAAGGAATTTAAGGATCTCATAAATTTGACTTAATAAATACCATTCGATTTTTAGATTTTCATTGAATATAAAAATAATAATCATTAACAACATCTAGAATAATAGTTATACGAAGGAAAAGTTTTGAAAAAAAGTATGGATACCATTTCATTTCAGGAGTATTTTATTGAAATTAGGTAAATTTATTCTGTTATCAAGTGGACAATACCATTTCATCTCATAGTATTGTCGACATTGAATACCATTAATGTCTAAGAATAGTTGTTTTTTTTTTTAGTGGATACCATTTTATGGGATGATTTGTAATGCCATGTTTGTGTGCCCACCAGTTGATTATGTGGATATATTAGAATCCCAAATATATAAATAAAAGACCAAATTTGAACATTTTTGAAATCTGTTTACCTCCAAACATTTATTGACGATGAAATGTTTTGAACCAACAAAAGACAGAAAGTTGTAGAGGGCTATCACAGATGGCGTTTGAGTTCAACCATAACATTTTTTGTTTTATTTTTGTGGAACAATCATCCGCATGCAAATGCTTACGTTCAAATTTAATCTTAACCATTTCAAGTCATTGTGTCAATTCCATATCAATTGTTCTCCTTATCCTCAACCCTTGAAAGTTCCGCTTAAGTCAATTCCCATGATAATATGACAACCTCATTCAGCAACCCTTTCACCACGAGAATGCCTTGAGTCTTGTATTCTTTATAATTCTTTTACTAGATATTTTTAAAAATATATAAATATGTTTCATGTCTTTGGGAGAGCAGCATCATAGAGGCAAAGTCCATTGTTTTTTATGTTTAAAATTTTATTCAAATTGTTTCTGAGGTTTTATATATATATATATATATATATATATATATATATATATATATATATATATATATATATATATATTTAAAAATATTAAAATTAAATCAAAAATTTATATATATATATATATATATATTATATATATATATATATATATATATATATATATATATATATATATTATATTATATATATATATATATCATATAAATATATTATATATTATATATATTATATATATATATATATATATATATATATATATATTATTTTTACACACATATATATATATATATATATATATATATTCATGCAAATATGTTGATAAACGAATTTTTTACTGGTAAATTTTCTGTCAAAGTTTATCACCATATTTGTACATGAACGCACAACTGTAAAAAAATTAAAATCAAACTCAGCGTTGCTACTGCACGCTCCAAAAACAATAACTCATTTCCAATAGCATTTTCGGATACAACAATACATATATTTTCGTTGTCCTCTTATTACTAAGAGAAAAAAACAAGAACAACATCTATTCCATACCTGAAGATGTCTGTAGGAACAGACGAAAGCTTGTAGTAAAAATAAGAACTAATGCGGCAGAAATTTATAGAAACAAGGATCTTTTCATTCATAACGGATTCGGAGGTTTTTGTATATTATTTGAATTGTTTGCGACGATGGATTTCTCGCCAATTAAATCATTAACCTTTGCATTTGTTTTTGTGTGAATAATTCATGAATTTGTAAATTGATTGCACGTTTATCGAAATATATATATATATATGTATATGTATATATATATATATATATATATATATATATATATATATATATATATATATATATATATATATATATACAATTGATCCCGCAGTATGAAATTCCTAAAGAAAAAAAACTACTAAGACATATCACTATATTAATTGAACTATATACTTAGTTCATGTCATGTTAACTGAAAAACACTTGTAAAAAAAGAATTCCTTGATTTACCAAATTACAAAATTCTTATAAAAATTCTCACTTGAAATTTTGAACTTTAGAGTTGCGACTCGCACGTTCCGAGATTGTACAACCGTCAATAAAGAACACATTCTTAAAAAAAAAGAACATCTTTCGGTCTACAAACAATCATTTCGTCTTCAAGTTTTAACATTAAAGGAAAAAAAACTACAGCCTGGCGATGAAGGAATGAATCTTCGAAAGTACTTGCTTAACTTAAAAAAATATATACTAGAAACATCTTACAACAGTTTTATAAATGAGGATCACATCATTCAATAGATTAACAGTAATTTAATGCATACATTATGTTCTACTAGCGAAGTGAGTTCGCCATTAATCGCATTAATATTACTGATTGATTCTATGTATGCTTATTTCTTTATATATATATATATATACATATATATACATATATATATGTGTGTGTGTGTGTGTGGATACTTCTACTGACATTTTCCCCCAAAATTAAAAAGATATGAACAGTGAATGAGGTTGATAGATAATAAATATAGATAGATAGATGTGAACAGGAAATTAGATAGATAGATAGATAGATGTGAACAGGAAATTAGATAGATAGATAGATAGATAGATAGATAGATAGATAGATAGATAGATAGATGTGAACAGGAAATTAGATAGATAGATAGATAGATAGATAGATAGATAGATAGATAGATAGATAGATAGATAGATGTGAACAGAAATTGAGATAGATAGATATAAACATTTGACTTCCGGTTCCTTCTACTAAGGTTTTCTCATTCTCTTTCACTTTCAGTAACTGATTTTATTCAAAAAATCTTCTCCAATGCCGACCACATCAAGCGGTCTTATAAAACACATTAAAATCTATGTAGTTCAAAAGTTCATTAACAGTAAAAAAGATAACTATTAATGAAAGATTTTCCTCTTTCTTAAATATAGTAGATATATTTTCATATCCGGAATCCCTCATATCCGGAATCCCTCATATCCAGAATCCCTCATATCCGGAATCCCTCATATCCGGAATCCTTCATACCCGTATATGATTTTGATGTGTATATTTGAACCGTGATGTGTAACAGATTTGAAATTTCTGTTTTTCAGGAAATTTACTTTGGATAATCGTTTCTGCTTATTTCACCCTAATGTCTTTTATTGGTGCAAAAGTTGATGGGAATAAGAGGAAAAGAACAACTTTGGAGTTATCGCAAAAAGTGGAAATTTTAAACAGACTAGACGCTGGTGAAAGTTCATTATAACTAATGGCTGAGTTCAACATAGGAAAATCAACATTGTATTATATAAAATCTTCCAAAGAAACTAGTCTCCAGCGTTCACACTGTCACAATGAACAAGGAAATAAAAATCATGATTGTGATGGAACTTGAACTGAAATTGAAAAAGCTATTGAAAAGATTGTCAGTTTTATGGAAAGAAAGCCAGCATTCAGCTATAACGATTGCAATAACACACGCAGAATTAAAAAGTGTCTTTCGTTTAAAAAATTTCAAGACCAAAAGCAAAACGAAATGCGGAAAAAGTTGAGAATGGCATTAGAAGAGAAAGAATCATCGTGCAACAGCGATTAAAAAATCCTTGTTACATTATTTGTTTTGCATACGTGGCATAATTAATTTAATGAATTTTCATTAACATTACATAATTTATTTCTTTTTCCTTAAAGTCAGTTTCGTTATATTTCACTCGACATTAGATTATTTTGTTTACTATAAAACATTGAAAATAAATGTTAAACCTGATTTGAGTTCTTTTATTTTAATCTAAATATAACATCTCATATCCGGACTTTGTAGCCAATTCCTCATATCCAGAAGGCTTCCTAGGTTCGGGTGTCTGGGATTCTACTGAAATTGTGCTGAATCAAAACTAGTACCTATTTGCCTGGTGCCTAATATTAATAATAAACAAGTATCAACAAGCACTCGTGAAACTGGTTGCGTAGAGGACACCTAAAATGATAAAACCTATCTCTTTTGCGCACTAGAATAAATGCATAAAAATTTTTTAAAAAAAATAAAGAAGCAAATGCCGATCTTGTGAAAGAAAAAAATGAGACTTCACAACTCATGATAATTCAATATAGCACTGAAAAGGAATACAAAATGCAGACGAGAATGGGCAAGAACTTTCGCACTCTCATAACTGCGCAAATACCTTAGATACGACTAAATGGATTTTTTGTATCCAATATCTGTAGCTTTTCTTTTATAGACGTTATCGAGTTATCTCCCTTGAACCGTGCCAGTTTTTCTTTTTTTTTTTTTAATCATGAATATCCAAACACATAATTTAATACACCACAGAAAAAGAACAGAAAACGCAGACAAGACAGGGTAGGAACTGTCATATATTGGAAACTGCGCAAAACAGCTTGAATAAGGCTATATGGATTCTTGTCTCCAATGTCTGTAGTCTTTCTTTTAAAGAACTCATAGAGTTATCTCCCTTTAACTGGGGATGGCAGAGGCTTTTTTATATCCATATATGATTATCCATTTATTTATTACTTAAAGGTTATTTTAGTGGATACCCATATTTGATTAGACGCTCCGTTTGTTTATTAAACAGCATATCTATTTACTTTCGTCTACTGGCCTGAATATTCGAAAAATCATATTAGAGTAAAATATGAGCTCTCCGGCAGGATTCGAACTTGCAATCCCCAAGGAGCAACTGTCATTCGATCTGATAATGCATAAAAACTGAGGGGGAAATATCGTCCAATCTCACGGCGACCAGGCTCAGCTACGGATTGCAACGACGAGCAACCAAAGCTGAATAGTACCTTTAAACACAGATCTTTCTCTGATTCTTGAAACTGATATATCTGCAGGGTTTCGTATTCCAAAGAAAACAAAGCAAATTTGTGAAGACAGGGAGCGATTTTTTTTTACACGAGGTAAAATTCGAACAGGCTCACGACCGCCTCTTCGTAAACAGTAGGTAAAAATCAACCGGTTTCACAACCACCTCTTCATAAACAGTAGGTAAAAATCAACCGGTTTCACAACCACCTCTTCATAAACAGTAGGTAAAAGTCAACCGGTTTCACAACCACCTCTTCGTAAACAGTAGGTAAAAATCAACCGGTTTCACAACCACCTCTTCATAAACAGTAGGTAAAAGTCAACCGGTTTCACAACCACCTCTTCGTAAACAGTAGGTAAAAATCAACCGGTTTCACAACCACCTCTTCATAAACAGTAGGTAAAAATCAACCGGTTTCACAACCACCTCTTCGTAAACAGTAGGTAAAAGTCAACCGGTTTCACAACCACTTCGTAAAAGTAGGTAAAAATCAACCGGTTTCACAACCACCTCTTCATAAACAGTAGGTAAAAATCAACCGGTTTCACAACCACCTCTTCGTAAACAGTAGGTAAAAATCAACCGGTTTCACAACCACCTCTTCATAAACAGTGGATAAAAATCAACCGGTTTCACAACCACCTCTTCATAAACAGTAGGTAAAAATCAACCGGTTTCGCAACCACCTCTTCATAAACAGTTGGTAAAAATCAACCAGGTTCACAACCGCCTCTTCGTAAACAGTAGGTAAAAATCAACTGGGCTCACGACCGCCTCTTCGTATACGTGAGGTAAATTCGATCAGGCTCACGACCGGCAATTCGTAAACAGGGGGATAAAATCGACCAGGTTCACGATCACTTCTTCCTAAACAGGAGGTAAACTCGTCCAGGCTGACGATCACTTCTACGTAAACAGGGGTAAATATTGTCCAATCTCACGACGAACTCTTCGTAAACAGGAGGTAAAATCGACAAGATTCACGACCACCTCTTCATAAACTGGGGGTAAAATTGATCAGACTCACGACTACCTCATTTTAAACAGAAGGTAAAATCGACAAAACTCACGACCGATATTTCGTAAGCAGGAGGAAATATCAACCATTTTCACGACCATCCCTTCGTAAACCGGAGATAAAATCAACCAGGCTCACGACCACTGCTTCGTAAACTGGAGATAAATCAGATATGATCACGGTCAGCTCTACGTAAACAGTATTTAAAAACGACCAGACTCACGACAAATTCTTCGCAAAGAGGAGGTAAAATCGAGTAGGCTCACGATCACCTCTTCGTTAACAAGAGGTAAACTCGACCGGGGTTAATATCATTTCTTCCTAAACAGGAGGTAAAATCTACCAAGCTCACAACCCTATCTTCGTAAACAGTAGGTAAAATGAACCATCCTCACGAACAAAGCTTTGTAATCAGGACATTAAATCGACCAGGCTCACGGAGGTAAACGCAACTGGAGTCATGTTCACTTCATCGTAAACGGGAGGTAAAATTAACCGAACTCATGACTATCACTTCGTACACAGGAGGTAATTCGATCAAAGGTCACGACCATATCTTTGTAAACAGGAGGTAAAATGGACCATGCTGACGAGCGCCGCTTAGTAATCAGGAGGTAAAATCTACCAGGCTCATGACCGCCACAACGCAATCAGAAGGCAACTATTTTCAAGGCCACATCTTCGTAAACGGGGGGCAAAATCTACTAGGCTCATGACACCCTCTTCCTAAACAAAATATAAAATCCACCGGGCTCACGATCACCTCTTCGTAAACATAAATAAAATCTACCACTCTCATGATCACATCTTTGTATACAGGAGGTAAACTCCGCCGGGGTGACGGTCTCCTCTTCGTAAATAGGTGGAATCTACCGGACTCACAACGACCTCTTCCTAAACAGGAGGTAAAATCGACCATCGTCACGAACGCCTCTTCGTCAACAGGGGTCAAAATCGACAACCTCTTCTTAAACAGAGGGTAAAATGGCCCAGGCTCACGACCACCTCTTCGTAAACAGGAGGTAAAATCGCCCGGGTTCACAAACAACATTCAGATAATAATGTACAAAATAGAAACTAAGTTAACAGGATTGAAATAATGTGAAACGTACTTGTTTCGGCTTCTATCCATCCTTCAACAGGGACGAAATTGGCATTTGTTAACTTGGGAATCTCCACATTTCCCTATAAACTAGAGGCCCTAATTATCCACTCCCATAAATAGAAAGGAAATAAAAAAAAATGGCTGATATTATTTAAAGCGGTCACTGCGAAAACGTAAAATAAGATTAGGCCAATTTTCCTATTTTGGGTTAGTACAGAAAAGACTATTCAACCTGGGGTCCAAAACAACATTAACAATGCAAATGATCTAAAAATGCCAGGTCAATTATGGTACACATTGACCTTTGCTTTTGTCATCATTATATCCTTTACACGGCGATGATGTTATCCTGTATGCACGCACACGTACGCATGTCTGCACACACACGTACATTATATATATATATATATATATATATATATATATGAAATGTTGCTGATATATATATATATACATATATATATATATATATATATATATAAAATGTTGCTGATATATAAATAT